TTGACAGTGCCATTGAACTTGCCATGGGTGGAATCATACTGGAACATATATACCATGTAGTTGAGGTCAATGAAAGGGTCGTTTATGGCAACAACCTCTACTTTGCCAGAATTAACAGCATTCCTGGTGACCAGGTACCAATATGGCCAAATCCGTGACTCCGACCTTCACCATCTTGTCTCAGGGATGCAGCTGGTACTACAAGAGAAGCTGCGGCTGCCTATCGAACGGGGAGGAGCAGAGAGCACAGGGCTGAGCTAATTCTTGAACAGTTCATTGAGCTATTTCTTGGCTAACAGTTCATGGCACGAAGCACTTAATTAAGTTGGCTGTTACTGTTCACTTCATTGATAGATAGTGAGTGGGAATTGTGCCAATGGAAGCTCATGTAGTCTCACCACAATTTAGGGACGTCTATTCGTTTGCTATTTCCATTTAACAGATGGATGGAAACCCAGGGAAGGTCAGAGTTATCCAAGGTAACAATGAGTTAGTTGTGTGCTACTTCATTGTTTAAGAAGTCCAGAATAGTAAAGTGGTAAAAAAAAAACAAAAACAGGCTTTGGATTCAAACTGCCTGCAGTTTGATTCTCAACTAATTATGTACCTTGCCGGCAAGTAACTGCTCTGAGCTTTAATTTTTTGGTTTTTAAAATGCAGAAAATAGCCACCTGATTTGTATATTGTGGGGTTTAATGACTCTACATGCAAATATTTCGCAGTGTGGGGCATACAGAATATTTCTCATCAGTTATGGGTATATAGAATGTTTAGCATAGTATGGGGCATACAAAATAGTTCACCTAGTATGGGGTTTACAGAATATTTCGCCTAGTATGGTACATAGCTGCCATGTTAAATGTTCTGTCCCTCCAAAATATAGTTATCATTAAGGTGAGAAGGCAAGATTAGTATTCTGACGTAGAACGAGTTTGTCGTACTTACTCACTAGATCTTACATATCGAGTGGTGATTGTGGTAATAGTTGTGTGCCATAAAGTTAGTTAAAACTCTTAGCGACCCTCTGTAGGGTTTCCAAGGCTGTAAATCATTACAGGAACAGAAAGCCTTTTATTTTTCTTCTGTGGAGAGGGTGGTAGATTCGAAATGCTGAACATTGCAGTTAGTAGCCCAACGTGTAACCCAGTACATTGCTAAGGCTCTTTTATATATTGAATATATGTATGTAGGATAAGCACTGAACAGCAAGCCTGGTTTGAGCCACAAGATTGGGATTTCAAACCTACCAACCGCTCCTCAGAAACCTTCTAAAGGTTTTACTATGAGTCAGAACCGACTTGTTGTTAAGTGCTATCGAGTCAATTTGGACCCATAGTGACCCTGCATAGGGTTTCCAAGGAGCAGCTGGTGAGCTTGAACTACCAACCTTACAGTTCAGACAGCTTTGTAGTCTGGCACATTAACCCACAGTGCCACACCAGGACTCCCAGAATTGATTGTTGTTGTTATGTGCCGTGGAGTCCATTCCGACTCATAGTGACCCTGTACAGGGTTTCCGAGACTGTAAATCTTTACGGGAGCAGAAAGCCTCATCTTTCTCCTACGGAACCACTATGCTATGTGTATACATATATTGTTATTAAGTAGTCTAGTTAGTTCGCTGTGTGTATATGTATATTGCTATTAAGTACAGTCTAGTCAGTTCTCTAAGAAGCTTTGGTAGCGTAAAGATTTACAGCCTCGGAAACCCTGTTCAGGGTCGCTATGGGTCGGAACCGACTCGACGGCACTTAACAGCAACAGTCAGTTCTCTGGTAGCGTAGTGGTTACGAATTGGGCTGCGAACCTCAAGGTCGGCAATTCAAAACTACCAGCTGTTCCATGGGAGAAAGATGAGGCTTTCTGCTCCTGTAAAGATTTACAGCCTCGGCAACCCTGTGCAGGATCGCTATGAGTTGGAACCGACTCCACAGCACATAACCACCACCATATACACAAGGCACTGTGGATATAATATTAATAAATTGACTTCGGTCATTTTTGTAGTTCTTTCTATCCATTAGCAAATCTGGTAAGATTTCTAGCCAGAATCTAACCACTTCTTACTGCCTCCACTGGTTTCGACTACCATCATCTTTTCCTTAAGTTATAGTAATAGTTTCTTAATTGGTATCCTACTTTCTGTCCTAGCTCCTGTATTGTGTGTTCTCAGCACAGCACTGTCTTAGTGCTTATCACAATAACACTGGTAAAAGTAAACTATTGGGATTGAGACATGGTTGGAATGGGGAAAAGGGGAGATATAATGTTAAGATGCTTGGCTGTCTTTTGAATCTTGGTTTCCCTTGCATACCATTCTAAAATAGACACTTGAGTGGGAGAGAAAGGAATAGCCAGAAATATCACCATAGAAAGCTTGTAAGTCTGTCTTCTGCCTATAACTGATTGTTGTTGTTGTCAAGTATCATGGAGTCAGTTCCGACGAATAGTGACCCTGCACAGGGTTTTCGAGGCTGTATATCTTTACAGGAGCAGAACGCCTCATCTTTCTCCTGCAGAACCGCTGGTAGTTTTGAACTGCTAACCTTGAGGTTAGCAGCCCGATTTGTAACCACTACAATACCAGAGCTCCTGATAACTGATTGGAATACCTAAGATGGGGCTACATTTTGGAATACCTAAAATGGTACCCAGTGAAGGAGGCTTCCTGTGGAGCCTCTGCATTACTTAAGAGCATAGGTAGAATCCTGAAGCATCCAGAATCTTCAGAGAAGGTGGAAAATTTCCACTTGAAATGACAAGCAGACCAGCCTGGAGCGGTTAGAAGAACAGAAGATAACTTCTTGAAAGAAAGACCAACAGGTAAAATATAAAGCAGACTGACAAGGCAAATGGTCAGGTCCCTTCAGAGCAAACCCCTTTCCAAGACTAAGACTCAATGGGAATACATGCTTTGATTGGTGACCACGTTTGCCACTGAGAAGGGAAAGTGAGGGAAAAACAGCAGTGAAGCTGCGAGCTGAGCCCTACAACGTTCAATAGACTCCTGTGAGCCCAGGTGGAGACCTGGTTGGCCAGCAGTATGGCAAGACCTGGGGACTCTTGGGCCCAGAGACAGTGACATAGCCAAGGGACTAGAGTGGAGAGTGAGGCATCCAGCTGATAAGAGCGGGCAAAAAAAAAGAAGAGT